GACGGGCGGGGAGCAAAACTTGTCCGTGCTGTTTGTATTTGTTTGTGCAAATACCAGACACGGCTAAGTGAGCGGCGGACTGTCTATTCGGACCGGGCTGTTTGTGCTTACTATGTAGGTAATCACCAGTACCGGTAGCGAATAGACCGCGGAAGATGATTTTGTAGCCGGCTGCACAGGGTCTATTTACTAGGTATCACCATTGCCTCCATGTTACAGCTCTGCGACGTGGTGTGTCCTTATTTTGTTGTTGTTTGTTGGTACGTTTTTCTGGTATGGACACGTACTTCTAGAGATCAGTGTCCTTTCGGGTGTATTTGATTATCCGATGGTAACTTTGCTGGTATGAGTACATTTTATACTGGTATTTATTGCTGGTACGCGCACGTCAAAATGGTATCGGCGTTGCCCGCCATCTAGTGCGCGTAATAGGCACTCACGGTCGGACGAATAATTACAAATAGTTCATGCGGATTCGGCTTGTAGCGCGTCGGTAGCGTGTCCATACGCTATTACGAGAAAAATCACATAGTCCATTCTGTCTCGTTACAAATATATATGTGTCACCTAAACCGGAGGGGCTTAATATATTATTATAGTCAGCGCATAATATATGCCTAATGTGCATATTATGATGCTTATAAAATAAACGTAATGATGTAACATACGTTACACAACGATATAATATTATTGTATAAGAAAAACGATTCTGAGCGGAGACGGTATGTCAGTCTAGGTACCTATAAGACATATTATATACCTATATATCTATAATAGGCACCTATATAAAATTCCAAATTAATCATATCACAATATCCATTAGGTACTTATAACGTGTTATAAATCAATAACAAACCCTGATACTATCATAGATATATATAGTAGTGTTTCATGTACCCACGAATAATATTATACAATCACAACAAAATAACTAAAATAGTTATTCTAAGTTTTTTATTATGTAATTTCCTCTAAATTTGAACTTAAAATAAATCGTATTAATGATATTAAATTATTATGAAATATTTCATAGTTTGTTAAAAGGTACCTATGTACTTTTTACCCAAATAGAAATAAAGGAAAACTGTTTTTTGTTTCTTCTGAAAAGTAGTTGAAAATGTACATGGGTCCCTTTTAACAAATTGCCATTCAATAATAATTTGATATTTAGTTCTTTAGGTAGGTACTTTCTTTGTAAATATCATAGATCAGTTTGAATAATCCGAATAATTTTTTTTCCTTTTAGGACGTACGGAGTTCACATCACTTAAAAATAAGAACTACCTATGGTATTATGTCCAAGAAATGTGTAAGTCTACCTACAGTACTTAAGTACTTTTATTTTTGAATATAAACAACTGACGAGTAAATAATAATATTGGGTTCAGAAAATTACAAGTAGTGTTTCTTTCAATTGTTTAGATCGGATAATGTTGGCGAAGCTTTAATTTATATTCTGGAAAAAGGTAGTTCTGGTCAATATTGGATTGTGGAAAATGAAGAAACACCAAGGCTGGCAGAGTGATGGCCTATATTTTATGTTAAAACTTAATCGATTTATTTGTTTTATCTAAATATGCATTTAACATAACGTGTGATTTGTGTTATTAATCTTATTTAATATTACTAAAATGGTAAAATGTTGGCTCAGTGTTTATAATATGTCTATGATACAGATAATTTACGATCGTATAATTATTATTAATAGTTATTACGTATAGTTGCTTAATAAATATGCATATTTTATAAAAGTGTATTATCAGACAATTTTTGATTTTCACGTGGTATGGCCTATTCTTTTTTCAATCATTTACAATTTTTTATTTCATAATAATAAATAACAACTTAAAAAAATAATCTTTGCACTTCTATTGACATTTTTATCTCGCTTATTTCGACTTTAACGGGAAACGAAGTGCACGGGATCAGCTGACAGCTAGTAAATTTATAAGCGCGGTGACTGATACCGTATTGGCCGATATCATGCACCTAACCTATAAGAGGCGATGAACAATAATTGAAATAGAAACTAAAACCAAACTGAAAAGAACCTAGTCTAGAATTCAACAATCCGAAAAAAAGATTGGGAACTAGAACTTTCTCACACAATTTGAAATTATTATAGTTTTAGTTCCTTCAATTTAAAAATGTTTATTATAGGTTGCCGCCGCAACATAATAACATAGCATTATTTTTATATTAATATTATCACTGGTCACGGAGAAATAGCTGGACTCACACACACATATCATATTATTAGTACTGTTTTATTTTTGTATTGAATGTGTCTTGTGAGTTATATAATATGTAGATTAAACGTTATCGCACGCCGTCGCGCCGTCTATGCGAATTTTATTTGGCACGGCGATCGTCAATCCGTCCTGTCTCGTACCGTACGATGTTTAGATATTATCAACTCGTACTTTTCAATATTTGAACAAGTGTTAAAACAAAATTGTGAGCTCGAATCGCCACTAATATTATTAGATGTAAATCTACTGTGTTTCTCAGCACTGTGTCTACATTATTGTTCTTTCGGTGCTGATCGCCGAAGACATTCTTTTTTTATTCATTTTATTATTGTGGGCCATAAGGGCAATACTTTATCTTTATTACAATTCATATACCCTTGTCATTTTGTACAATTTATATTATTATAGCACAGGACCAGCTGGCCAGTCTGCGCTCCATGGATTGTGAGTTTTTTTTATTAATATTTATTTTATTATTTATAATATTTTATTTTACGTATTACATTATTTGTTAGGCCAAAAGGGCCGTACACATTTTATAATTATTTTACTATCGTGCCAAAAGGGCCGCATATTATTTTTATATTTTATATTATATTATTCTAGACGAGTTTATACTCATACCAGCAATTATTAATCTGTATATTATTATTATATTCTGTTCAGCTATAAGGGCAGCGAATTATAATATAATTATAATTTATCATTGTACCAGCTATAACTACCACTGCCTATCACTACCAGCTATAACTTAAATATTTTATAAATAAAATTAAAATTTTAAAAATCATTTATTATGTACCTATATTAGTCGTGATTGATCAAATTTATTTTTTAAGCAGTGCTTACAGTGCTTACATGCACGCTACGCCCCTGCTGTTCAGCTATAAGGGCAGCGAATTATAATATTATTATAATTTATCATTGTGAATTATTTAAAGTCGTGTACCTATTATACATCAAGTTGCCATTGAACCTTGTTACAATTTTTGTATTAATTGTTTAATTGTATACTTACACACCTACATACATACACACATTCATACACAAATACACATAATCCACAACAAGTACTACATAGCCGACAGCAATAATTGCTAGGCGATCTCGACCACTGCTGTTCGAGCTATTACACCATTACACACCCAGCTAGTCCTCCATAATGTATTTTTTAGACCTAGGTGTTAGTGGCGTAAAAAAAAGGAGTTTGGTGTCCGGACATGTATATTATTATTATATACTCCGGCCCGTACACAATTATTAATATTTTGAATTTACTACTTAAGTACACAATGATGAGGAATATAATAATGAAACACATTGTCTGTGTTTTCGAGTGGACCCAGTTCCATGTGACCAGCGTCCAGGTAATCTTGCGTGAAGTCTACGTACTGGCGTCGAAGGTTCTGATCATTATTCAGTCAGTTTTCGAGTGCCTGGAAGAGCGAAGGGCAACAGATTTTGAATCACCTAACACAGGCGATGCTTTCCGAAATAGAAGAGATACCATGTATAGTCCGGTAATCAGCCGAGTTGTTGTCTTTTTATAAATTTCCTCGGCAGCGCGCTCATCTGGACTGAGATGGCGAACAACAGGTAGCTCTTCAAGTTCCCAGAAACGCCTGATAGACAAGTCAAGAGTTTCAGAAACAGATTAACACATAGTTGTGACAGTTGACTGAGCATTACTGTCGACAGGTTCCATCAGATTCCAACCGAAAACAGACATGCCAGGCTGGCCTGTGGCTTTTCCATTTAGAAGTGGCATTGGCAAGATGTCGGCCTCTAACAAACGATCGACTGACTGAGGATGATGGTACAACGGATCAGCGAGAGAGAGGTTTTGTCTCTATGGAGAAAGTCTAAAAATGGTCTACCGCAGGGCAGTGTACTAGCACCAACAATGTTCAATATATACACCAACGACAAACGAATATCAAAAGACCAATCAATAAACCACTACATATATGCTGACGATACCGCTATTGCAGTGCAAGACACGAGTTTTAAAACGGTGGAAAAAAAGATAACTACGACACTTAAAGAAGTTAGTACTTATTACCAAAGAAATCACTTACGACCAAACCCAGCGAAAACCCAAATATGCTCCTTCCATCTGAGGAATAGGGAAGCAAACCGCCTATTAAATGTAATCTGGGACGGTATAGAACTCGAAAATACCCAACATCCCAAATATTTAGGAATAACTCTGGATACGTCCTTAACATACCGAGCTCATTGTGAAAAGCTAAAGAAAAAAATATCATCACGAAACGGACTGTTACGAAAACTAATGGGAAGCTGCTGGGGAGCCCAGACACATACACTAAGAACTACTGCAATGGCCTTATTCCTATCAACAGCTAAATACGCATCACCAGTATGGGGGAGATCTGTCCACTCAAAACAAATTGATGTCACACTAAATGAAACGTGCCGACTGGTGACAGGTTGTCTAAGAAATTCCTAAGTTGAAGAAATATATGTATTTGCTGGAATTGCCCCACCGGCAATCAGGAGGGCAGTGCAAGCAGATTGGGAGAGGACTAAGATGACGAAAGATGACAGACATCCAATGCATGGAATTGAAGCAAATAATTTCCGGCTAAAATCAAGAAACAGTTTCCTAAAAAAGACGAAATGCTTAAAAACAACTAAGGAACAGGAAAGAGTTATGCAATGGACAAACCAAATTAGAGACAAAATATAGGTGCCCAGCGAAGCGTTACCATCAGGGAATCAACTAGAATGGCCAATTGGAGAACTTTAAATCGAATGAGAACAGGAGTCGGTCTCACTAAGGACAACAAGAAGAAATGGGGACTACTTGAAGGAACATCTACAACTTGTGAATGTGGGATGGAACAGTCAATGAAACATATTCTGCAATGTCCAATCTGTCCTTACTCATGCACACAAGATGATGTTATGAATGCAAACGACAACGCCATAGACGTAGTTTGGCTGAAACCATATGAACCAGAATACGACAACCTTTTACCATTTATGTGACTTTGAATTATTTTAATATGTTTATTTATTTTATATGTTTATGTTTATTTATGTTTATTTATTTTATTCATTTGTTTGCCTTTTATATTTATACTTATGGTTTCACTTTATATGTATACTTTGTTGGTTATTATTTGAGGATTATACCTACATAATGATGTGCCTGATACGAGAAAAAAAAATTAGTATAATCACAATGCTCTAGACAGTGTTGGGGAAGTTACTTATTTTTGGTAATTAAATTACATTACTAATTACTTATCAAAATTGTAACTAAATTATTTTTAAGTTACTTTTTTTTAATATGGTTAAGTTACATTACTTTTGAGTTTAAAAAGTAACTGAATTACAATAGAAGTTACTTTTTTTCAAAAATATCACTGGAGCTTAATAATCATGTTGTCAATATAACAATACATAAACTCAATAGGTAATGCCAATCAAAAATATGAAATTATTAGCAGATACTCATTTTGCTACACTATTATTATTATTATTATTTTTATTGAACTTAAGCCCGGAAACTATGGCCATAAGCTGTTGTAGGGGATTATAAACTGTGGTTGATAAATTTGGTATGGTAAGATGTTGTTACGGTACCTATGTATGTAAACACGTGTAAGTGTGGCAAGGTTTTTACTACTACGAATCCGGGTGGTCACCCATCCGGGAACTAGTAGCAGCGGGCGCAACTTACTCTCAGTCGTATTGCGCGACTGGTAGCTAGCAGCCAAGCCACACATTTATTTATTAATTATTTTCTTTTTATATTAACTAACCCGCAGCAATTGGGTGGTTTTTAACTGAGATGGAGGGTACGGTAGGTTTTTGTAAACACGTGTGTTTTAGCTTGAAAGAATTTCAAATTGGGCACCTGTAGTCTGCCCGTTACCGAGATTCCAACCAGCTACGGTGCGCGTTGCCACCAACGCCTTAGTCCGCTCGGCCACTCCGTCTCCCTCACTTTTATTATTATTACTATTTATTGATAGTTCCAACAATGCTGTATACGCAGACGCTGACGCCGTGAGCCGTCCGCGACGATACAACACAGAGTACAGAGTAAAGATAAGAATTCCATTCTAAAAGTAACACTTTATAGTCGAACTGTCAATAGCTATAACAAAAATAGTACCTACAGTTCATACAATTTTACCTATAAATTAAAATACTAATAAGTTATATTATGATATATTTTAATATTTACCTACACACAATATTATCAATAGGTACGTTCTAAAAAATGTATTAATCCAAAAAAAAGTAACGAGTAATTTAGTAAAAATTACTACAAAAAAGTAACTTAAATTACATATAAATTACTTACAATAAAATGTAATTAAATTACCATCAAATTACTTAAAAAGTAATTTCGTTACAGTAACTTGTAACTTAAGTTAAGTTACTCCCCAACACTGGCTCTAGACTAATATACTGAATTAGGTTAGTAGACTATATTAGTTTTATTATGTTATTTAACTTTACAGAAATAATTATAACGGTGGTCTTATAGTGCAAAATATTGGTTTTGTAATAATTGTATCAACAAATTACAATATATAATTATAATATATAGAGGGGGAACAGCGACTCCCTTGATCCTACACAAATAAATAATAAATATGACCCTTCTGTGTATACAGATAATACAAATAATATTAATAATGAGAAATATGTAAAAAACTCACAAATATGACGGTGTTCGGCTGGCCAGCTGCTACCTATCCTATGGTTAAAAGAACAATAGTACTGACACACGACACAGACAATGCGTCATAACAATATAAAGACGCTATCGATTTACGCCACGACAAAAGCCATATAATTTTGTTTACTGCGATTCGCGCCTTTAACACTATATAAAGTGGCATTTCGTGCCTTACAAATAATAATAATATAAAACTGTGGTGAATCGAGCCCACAAAAAACAACAATCTAAAAAGTGAAACGGCGATTTGCGCACGTATAATAATAGTTTCGATGGGTGAAAGGTGACGCTCACCTTCGTAAGTAGAACCTTATTTAAATCATCCCCCCACTCTCGACCTCGAGGCAAGTGCACCCTAGCGGCCACACGGCCGGGTCTCGTTCGGAGCGAAGTCAACCCTGCAGCTCGCCGAACATGGGGGTCACAGACGAATCAGAAAACGCGTCGCCACTCCTCCAATGCAAGTCTCGAAGAAAAACAGAACATCTCCTCCACCTAAAACTAACTCCGTCTCATCTAATTCCGCCTGCTCTGAAGACAGCTGGAGCAATAGTGAAACTCAGCCCTCGCGTTCCCCCTCACCAAGACTTTCCATGAACAACATACCTGCACCAACCCTACCATCATCATCTGCTACTTCCACTTTCCCGACCCCGTCGCTGACATCAACCAACGCCCTCCAAAAGTTCCGCCTATTTTCCTTCCAGGCTCCGCCTGTCGCAATGTGGCTCCTAAACTTATGTCCGCGGTTCCAGCCGACGGCATTCTAGCCAAGACCTGTGACAATAATTCCATTAAACTACAATGCGTCGCCATAGATCTCTTCAGGATTGTTCAAAAATACTTACACAAGAACAATATAGATTTTCATACCGTCCCGTCCCCTACCGAACGGACAATCAAAATCGTCATCCGTGGGCTGCTTCCTGACATCACCGAACTTGAGGTGTCGGACGAACTGAAATCCAAGGGCTACGATATCACCACCGTACGCCAATTCGGGAACGCCTCCCGCAAATTTCCTCTTCACTTGGTCATTCTTGCCGCCACCCCTTCCAGCAAACAAATTTACAACGAAACTTCTCTCTTCTTTATGGCTATTAAAATCGAAGCCTTCAAATCCAACAACCCTGCCCAATGCTTCTCCTGCCAACGTTTCGGCCATTCCAGCCTTCACTGCGGCTACGCTCCAAGATGTGTCAAATGCGCTGGAGGCCACCTAGCCAAAGAATGTCCCAAGTCCAGAGATGAAACACCTAAGTGTGCTAACTGTTGAAAGTGAAGCTTGACGGACTAATGATGTTAGCATTAATATAATAAGTAATAACACGACAATATGATTATGTATAAGTATAATATATAATAACGTACAACTGGACAATTAAATTGTGACAGTACACACACATCGTATACGCTCTGTACAACGACGCCTGTGCAAGTGAGTATTACATACATCAAAGGCCCTATATATATGCACGACCGAGGTCATGTTACATCCGTGAAGAGAGTGAGTCTTATGCTCGTACATAACTAGTTACTAGTTACTAGTACTATATTGTGCACACGTGTCAAGGCTGACTACATGTACTACATATTAATTGTATATTTCAACACTAACTGCTGTGGCGCCCATACCGCCAACTACAAAAGCTGTCCTTCACTGACCCAAGAGAAGGACAAAAGACGACCTGTCAGACCTAACACCTCCATAACTGCTGATCAAACCTCCACTCCAAACAGTGTTCTACCTGTTGCTCCCACAAGCCAGACATCAACTCTCCAGTCTCTCCCGGTAAATTTCATCACATACGCTTCCAAAACGTCCAATAACAAACAACCCAAGAATACTGTCCCTGACTCAATGGCAGCCGAGCTCACTACCATCATCTCAAATCTTCCATCCAATAATATGAAGGTAAAAGATGCCCTCATTTCTTTGCTGACCATTCTACCACTACTTCTCAACCTCCAAAATGAGTAACACCCGCATACTATTTTGCAACTGTCAAGGCGTCACTCGGAGGCGCCTTGAACTCATTGATTTCATCCTTCAACAAAAAATCGACATCCTGTTACTCAACGAGACTCATCTCACCGGCCAACGTTCAATCAACATCCCCAACTACTTCACCTACACATCTAATCGTCCCCAAGTCCCCGGCCACTCAGCCGGAGGTGGAACCGCAATTCTCGTTCATAGACGATACACTCATCAACATGTCGTTATATCAACTTCATCTCTAGAGAACACGACTGTTCACATTCAAGTCAACAATACTGTCCGTCGCCTCGTAGCCATCTACAAAAGACCAGCCAATATCCTTCTACCAGCTGATCTCACCGCCCTTCTGGACACTCCTTACAACACCATTGTAGCAGGCGACCTCAACAGCAAGCACCAACTCTGGTTCAGCCGCAGGCCTAACGCGGCCGGCAGCGTTCTGGCTCACTTCATCAACTCCAGAAACGATCTTGCTGTAGCCGCTCCAGTCACCCCAACGCACTATCCTAATTACTCCAATCACAGTCCAGACATACTAGACATCGCTATAATAAAATCCAACAACATCCAGTATCACCTCGAAAATTTATCTTCAGACCTCTTTTCCGACCACACTCCGATTGTTCTGGAACTCCACTCTACTTCAGCATCTATGAATCCTCCTGAGCCTACACATGCAGTTGACTGGGCCGCTTTCCAGTCTCACATGGACTCTGTCAGTCACTCTCCTTCCAGCGGATCCACAACCAACTCCATCGACTCAGCCATCAAGAACCTCACAACCCTCATGTCAAATGGCATCGTTTGCCGCACATCCTCGATCGTCACTCCGATCACTCCAGGGTTCTTCCCAAAAAGCTGCAGCTTGAAATCGACCTCAAGCATCGCCTAAGATCTCGCTGGCAGAGAACCAGAGATCCAGGTCTCAAAACCACCTTGAACCGACAAATCACCAAAGTCAAAGATCTCATGGCCGAACACCGCAACAACAAATGGAACAACCTCCTTGGATCCCTCAACGAAGGCTCAAATGCGTGGACACGCTTCTACGGACTAAACCGCGCCCTCATACGCAAACGTCTACCTTCTCGCCCTCTCAAGGATTCATCAGGCAAGACCATCTTTGACCCCAAGTCAAAAGCCGATCTGCTGGCCGACTCCTTGGAAACTCAATTTCGGTCCCTCCTGGAAACGTCATCATCGATTCTTTGGTCCACGATAAACTGATCCATCAGCGCACTATTCCGTCGACCTCCACTTCGTTCTTCTCACCTGCAGAAGTCTGGAACGTAATGAAATCGCTCCCCAGTCGTCGCGCCCCTGGGCCCGATGGCATCAGCAACTGTGCGCTCAAAAACTGTGGACGCAAAACTATAACACATTTATGTCGAATATTCAACTGGTGCAAACGACTCAACTACTTCCCACTGCCGTGGAAACATGCCACAGTCATCACTATTCCGAAGCCTGGCAAGGACTTATCCAACCCTGTCAGCCATCGTCAAATTTCTCTGCTCAACACGATGTCTAAAGTCCTGGAGAAACTTTTGCTCATCAGACTGAAAATCCATACCTCCTCCAAAATTCGACCCGATCAACATGGCTTCAGAACTTTACACAGCACATCAACTCAACTTCTCAGAGTCATCGACGACATCTCCCTAAATCTCAACCTAAGAAAAAAGACCGCCGCAATTCTCCTTGACGTAGAAAAGGCTTTCGATAAGGTTTGGCATGACGGCCTCATCAGAAAACTGATTGACCTCGCTGTGCCCAACGACCTCATCGCCATCATCAGTTCTTTTCTCGCTGACAGAAGCTTCCATATTAAAATCGAAGGAAAAAACTCCACCACTCGCAAAACTCTAGCAGGCGTGCCTCAAGGCTCATGTCTTGCTCCACACCTGTTCTGCCTATATATCAATGACATGCCAGCTCACCCTAAATGCCGTGCGGCACTCTTTGTTGACGACCCTCTTTTTTATGCCACCAGTAATTCCAACGACGCTGCCACCAAACTACTACAACTTCAGCTCAACATCACTGAAAAATGGTTCCACGACTGGCGCATCACGGTTAAACCTCTCAAAACAACAGCGATAATTTTGTCTCATAGATCCACTGCCACTTCCATCCAGCCTAAACTCAAAAACATAAGCATTGAGTGGTCTCACTCAATGAAGTGTCTCGGCGTCCACGTGGATAAAAAACTTAACTTCTCAAAACACGTCACCACCGCAGTCAATAAGGCAAAATCTGTTAAACACCCACTATACACTTTACTATCCAGCCCAAGTCTCCCCATCAACACCAAATGCTTTATATACAAAACCTACATCCGCCCCATAGCCACATATGCCTCTCACACCTGGGCCTCCAACCTATCAGCCAGCAGATGGTTAAAGCTTGAAAGTCTTCAATCAACCTCTCTCCGCCAAATTTCTGACCAACCGTGGTTCGTCAACAACAAGGCAATCCGCCACTCCACTAAAATCCTACCCATCATGGACCATATAAATCAACTCACCAACTCTGTCAAAACTCAAATCATCAACTCTCCACACAACCATATCTCCGAAATCAGCACAAGAAGACCAACCTCAAAACTTTTCATAAAACGACCTTTTAGAACTTCTAACTTTCACCTCATTTCGTAAGCCCAAGTGCACAATCCATACAAAATTCACTCCATAAATCATTCACACTGGCAGAAGCGCTAGCTCGTTACAGATCAAAACATTTAAAGCAAAGCATGACGGTTATGCGAACAGAACTGAATAATATTGGGCGGCCGTGTTATAATCCGCGGACCGGCGATCCGGCGGTGGCCACTATCGTGTCGATACGCGTAATCTACATATTATACATATAACTCTTAAAAATATTCTATACAACATAAAACAATATAAATTACAATGAAATGCAAAGGTTGGCAAGTTAAGTTAATTATTTTAAACTGCTTTCAATTAAGTAAAAAGTTAACAAAAAAAAAAAAATTATACACATATCATATACATTTTATCATACACAAACATTTACCAAGATGTTTAACACTGTGTAAAAATATAGATTATTATAGTACATAATTCGACAGTAAATTACACAAATCTAAAGAGTCGACTAATCAGTATACGCTAATTGATTACGCATGATTCGAAAAGAAAATTAACGACAATGATAATTAACAATAAAAAGTTAAGAACATTAAAAATTTTAACTGAATAAGTTATAAAGTTAAAAACAAAAATAATTAACTAGTTAAGTAAAGAAGTTAAAAGAAATTAACTTTTCAAAGGGTTAATGCCTTTAAAAACTAACCTAACCTTTGTGAAATGGTAGGGGTGGGTGCATATATGTGGGTGTGTGTGTGTGCGTCATTCGTTCGGTTGTATAATATTAATCCGTTTTGGGTGTGTGTGTGTGTGTGTTTGTGTGTGCGTCATTCGGTCGGCTGTATAATATTGTTCCGTTACCCGGCCAAAATAGATATATTGTAGATTAAATACCTGCAATGTATCTTGCGAATACTGCATTTATTATTACAGTAGATCCTAGTTGCTTTTAGAAATATTTGGATAACATCATATTTTCATTTTCACATGACATTTCTATTTAAGTATGAAAACAAAGAGCGTACCTACAATCAAAATTCTTTTTTATATGCGTCTGAAAACGCTGAAAACTCATAAAATGTTTCTTTTAATGTTTAAAAAGTATTTAAGAAAGAAACAATATTCCAGTAATTAAACTTGAATAATAAACAAATTAATTTTTTATATTTTTAATGTATATCGAGGTCACTGGATAAAAAATTGAGGCAAAAGACCTAAGATTGGAAAAGGGGAAACCTGTCCCGAGGTCTTGTCTTTTTTTAAGTTTTTATACTATCTTCTATAATTAATTTATTACACAAGTTTTATAAATAAGACAATTAATTACTAAAATATTTTTAATCATGTTTAATTATTTAGATAACACGGTACGCAGCAGCAACCAGTACAAAGTACAGGCACAGCAGCGACCGGTCTACACTTTTGTCAACCACCACCATGGACACGACAGCGTGAAACCATTGACTCACCCACCACTCCGCAAAGTTGATTGCAGGACGGGAAAGCAAGTCACGCAAAACGGGCTTCGGTCTCGCATCGCAACCGTCGTCACGAAAACTGTCTTTTTCGAACAGTGTCACCAATAACCATCATACACGAGTCACGTTACGTACGTTTCAAATATCTCTGTTCATTCACCTCATGTATCGTCGATCGCCTGTTAAGCGTTGAATGTTTCAAACCAATACAGCATTTTGTCGTTTAAATAAATCGTTTTGTGTTCCCTTCACCACCACTCCACAATCGCAACTGGACCCTTACGGACAGCCCATTTCAAATTGGCTCAACGGCGGTGAATGGAACCCCGCCCACACAACATTTGGGAAATGAGAATATTTTGTGAAAGTCTTAAAATGGTTATATAATGAATATTTGACTAATAATATTATATAAATACTTATTTTTTTAAAAATATTTTCATATATATGTACAAAATTTTTGGAATAAGAATATAACAAAAATATATCCTAATTATTTACGCAATTTTTTAAAATATTATAACAACTATATTATTTTCCTGAAAATATTTTTAAAATTAGTTAGGAAATATTTTTATGCTGTAGGACGGTCTCCCACGTGACAGGCGGAGATAATTACCACTATAATACCAAGCAGAATAAAGATCAACATATAAATAACCAAAATAATATTACTTTAATAATGACTAAATTGAAGGAAAACAATAAAAATATGAATATGAAATATGTAAAAGATATTTTATGAATTTTTAAATAATTTATTTAAGGCGTCAAGTTTATTAGCTAACAATCGTTTCCGTAATTTAATTACATTAAATTTTCAAAATTTTTTTTTTCAGATTTAAATAATCATTATAATGAAGGGCCATTGATCCAGATGTTCGCTGTGAGCCCTACTATCTTGATGAAGTCTGCGATGGAACCCACATGAGTTTAAAAAGTTTGATGTCTTGAATAATATGATGTATTTTTAAAGAGTTTTCCGGTTATGGTATCATTGTTAAGTTTTTTTAATTTGATGCTTGAGACACTTTAGAAGACGTTATATCACGAATGCGTCATATTTTATACGGGTGTCCTCGGCATGTATCCATGCATGGAAGAAGAAACCATTGGTAGCAGATAACACATTTATATGGTATTTATCTGGTATGTGTCATAGTGTGACATGTCAAAATTGATTTCCGAGAAGAAACGTCAGCACAGCCATCACATTTATACGGCTTTTGGACGGTATGTGTCATTTTGTGCCTTATTAAATTTGATTTCAGAGTAAACGGTTGAACACAGTCTTGACATTTAAATAGCTTTTCACTGGTATGTGTCCTTTTATGCCTTATTAAATTTAATTTCCGAGAAAACACTTGATCACAGCTATGACATTTAAACGGCTTTTCACCGGTATGTGTCCTTGTATGATAAATTAAACTTGATTTCTGAGAAAACGATTGATCACAGTCATCACATTTATAAGGCTTTTCACCGGTAGGTGTCCTTGTATGATTAATTAAACTTGATTTCTTAGAAAACTCTTGATCACAGGTATCACATTTATACGGCTGTTTGACGGTATGTGTCCTTTTATGCCTTATTAAATCTTATTTCCCAGAAAACACTTTACCACAGATATCACATTTATAAGGCTTATCACCCGTATGTGTCCTTGTATGATTAATTAAAATTGATTTCTGAGAAAACGATTGATCACAGTCATCACATTTACATGGCTTTTCACCGGTATGTGTCCTTTTATGCCTTATTAAATCTAATTTCCTAGAAAACCCTTTACCACAGATATCACATTTATAAGGCTTATCACCCGTATGTGTCCTTGTATGATTAATTAAAATTGATTTCTGAGAAAACGATGGATCACAGTTATCACATTGGTGAGGCTTTTTCGCCGGTATGTGTCATTTTGTGCCTTATTAAATCTAATTTCCGAGAATACACTTTACCACAATCATCACATTTAAACGGCTTTTCACCGGTATGTGTCATTTTATGCCTTATTAAATTTGATTTCCGAGTAAACGCTTGACCACAGTTATGACATTTAAACGGCTTATCACCCGTATGTGTCCTTTGATGGCTTATTAAATTTGATTTCTGAGAAAACGATTGATCACAGTTATGA